CCAAATACTTACCACTGATTTTTAAGGCCTCTCATAATGAAGCCCCCCAACTTACCTTTTCTTACCTTTTTGGTCAGTTATTGTCTCTTCTCTTGCTCCAGACATCCTGGGTTTTCAGCTCTTCTCTGCATCCCTCAGGAACATCTTTGACCCCTCTGATCAGTCTATTCTCCCCACGAAACATACCATTTATAATCTTCAGAGCTCATTAAGGTTCCTGAGTATCTCAGGGAGGCCCCATCTGGCCTCTTCCTGATTAAGCTAATTTCTCTGTACAAATGTGTACTTTCAAGGGCATAAACTATACAATCATGTTTTATACATTTCTAATTCCCCCATTAATAAATACTCCATGAAAATACTTCCTTTTCTAGTTGAGATGGTGTTCCTAGTACATGGCACAAAGAATACTCTAGGGTGGTGGCAGGTAAATAGAATTTCTTCTGCTCCTTAAATCACCCAGCAAAAGGCAAACAGGAAGCCTGAAGGAGTGCCTGAGCGTCAGGGGGAAGACAGGAGACTGGAAAGGAGGAGTAAGGCTAAGAGGGGGAAATCCTAGCAATGTCATGACCCACCAGACAGGTATGTGTGTTCTCAGAGAGTACACATGGTATTCTTATGGTTGTGTGGCATATATGTACATCAGGAAAATGTCGGTGTGAGGAAGGGTGTGGTACTCTGAGGTGTGAGTAAAACTCACCTGGACCAGCCACTTCGCTGTTGGAGGACCTAGTTAGTCTTCCTCTTGCCAGTTGTCTCAAGAAGGACAGAAGATGAAGGAGGCCGAGCTGTGGAAGAAAAAGCAATCATGAAGCACTGCATTTACTTTACAATTAGTGTTCTTTGGGTGGGAGGCAGCCCCACAACAGCTTCACCTTTTCCTTCCCTACAAAGGCAGACATCAAATGAGTTCAGGACTCCACCCAGAATGAAAGGTCGTGGGCAATCAATTCTCCCCAAGACACATGTTGCGCCCTGGACTTTAATTATAGCCTTTTCCTATGTCAAGGGCACTGAAGTAATTCCTGAGGTCTCTTGGTATCTTCAAGGGGACTCTGGATTAAGGTATCAATTCGAGAGCCTAATTGGTTACTAATTAGCTATGTGACATTCCCATCCTCTAAGTGCAAGGAAACATGTTGCAGGTGAAAATTAGAGGTAAACAAATGGTCAAGGAGGGATTTAAAATCTCCGAGTAAACAGTGTTGGGAGAGCTCACCCATAGTTTGACAGCCAAAATAGCCTTCTAGTCGCTCTAGTCTTCTGGGTGTTGCCAGTGACCCCTCCCCCTCCCCCTTACACCCCCTCCTAATACCCCCTCCCAACAACCTCTCCCTTCCCACTGCATCTGACTCCACCCTTTACTTTCTGGTACCTATGTATGAAAAGAGTGTCCGCAGTCACCTATGTGTGGATATAAGATGGAGGCACTGCGACCCCTGCCCTCTGCAGCACCCAGGACAAAACCTGTTAAGGTCCCAGTCCTTAGCCCACCAAGACGACACGGGGCTCTGCAGCTGCTACTTATAAAAAAGACAGCCTCTCCCTCAGACCTGCTGCCTACAGGTGACATGCACAGCCAGGGCGGGTGGGGGGAGGCTGTGAGGGCTACGTCATCTGGATCGACACCTGCAAAGCGAAAAACCAGATGCCCCCTAGCGGTCAACAAAGATGGAGCCGGGGAGGGTGGGTGAGGCTGTGAGGGCTACGTCATCTGGATCCACACCTGCAAAGAGGAAAAAACCAGATGCCCCCTAGCGCTCAGCAAAGATGGAGCCGGAGGGAGTAGGGCGCTGCCGTCGGTACCAGAGAGCCCCGCCTTCTGGCCCGCCTCCTGCCGCAAGCCCAGATGTGAAGGACATCTGCAGAGAGAACACCAGGCGCCCCCTTGTGACCAACCTAGAGGGCGCCAGGGTGGGCGGGCTTCTGTGGCCCAGTCACTCAAGAAGAGAAAGCCCCGCCCTCAGGCCCGCCCCCTGCAGCCAACCCAGCTGTCATTCAAGATGGCGCACGCGCCCTAAACGCGCCATCAAAATTGGTGCCATGGTAACAGGGCTCTCGCTGCTCCTTCCCTCCGGCCTTCCCCTAGTGGCCACTTCAGCTGCTACTCGATGTGACAGCTGCGCAAATAATGCCAGCCACCCCCCAACCAAGATACGCGAAGATGGCGCCCAAGTGGGCGGGACTCTGGAGTCCGGGCCATAGCTCCGCCCTCGGGACCTCCTTCTGCGGCAAACCCAGCTGTCACTCAAAGTGGCTACTGCACCATTAACGTCAGCAAAGATGGCGTCGAGGTGGGCGGGGCTCCCTTGCCATTCAAGGCCGCAAGAGGCCACGCCCCTCTGGCTGTGGTTTCTCGAAGCGAGCCAGGCCAGCTGTCATTCAAGATGACACGAGGCACCTCAGACCCACCCCCATAGCCAACATTGGTTTAAACTCAGGGTGGGCGGGGCATGTCGTCCCGTCACTCAGGAGGGTAACCCCGCCCTGCGGCTTGCCCTGGCACCCAGATTAGCTCGCGTGCAAGATGGCGCCCGCGACGTGAACGCCAGCGGCTGCCTTGTGGCCTGTAAAGATGGCGCCAAGGTGGCTGGGGCTCAGGGGCCGGTCACGCGGGACCCTCTCCCTCTGGCGCCTGCCTCTCCTAGCCAGTCCAGCTCAGCCATCACTCAGGATGACACCTTCCCGCGGTCCATCTATGGCACACAGATGATGCCATCCCGTGTGGCCCCATCAATCATGACAGGGAAGCTCCTCCCTCAGACCCGCCCCCCCCCCCCCGACAGCTAGCCCCTCTGTCAGTCAAGATGGCGTCTGCGCCATACTTGTCCACGGCCAGCAAAGATGGCGCCCGGCTGGGTGGGGCTCTGCGGGTACCCAGGGCCGGAGAGGCCCTCCCCCTCGGCCCGCCTCTTGCCGCAAGCAAGCCCGGCTGTCACTCAAGATGATACCCACAGAGAGCGTCACACACGCCCATCCACCAATCAAGACGAGAGCCCCTCCCTCAGGTCCACCCCCTGCCTCCGGATGGGCTGTCACTCAAGATGGTGCCCGCATCGTATCAGCGCTCCCTCTTCGTAACTCCTCCCAGCCACGCCCCCTTCCTGCCTGCAGCCTGCAGGACGGCGTCAGGGTAGGCGGGGCTCTGCGGTGACACGGGCCCAGAAAGCCCCTCCCTCTAGCCCGCCTCTTTGCACCAAGCCTGTCACTCAAGATACCAGCTGACGACATCGAAGCCCTGCCCTTGGCCAACAAAATGGCGCCAACGGGGTAGGCGGGGCCGCAGGGCCCTATCACTCAGGATGATAGCCCCTCCCCGAAAGCCCGCCCCCCTGCATCTTGAATGGCAGCCCACACGGTTACGTGTCTGCGGCTGTCTCTGTCACTCAGGACGCTGGCCCCGCCCTCGGGCCCGCCCACTGGACATGGTGGGGAACCGCGATCCTTGACTGTAACCCCTACAGCGCTCCTCATAGATGGAGCCAGATACATCCCAGGGTCAAAGGACACATCAGACGGGGACGACTGTGCCCCCCAAAAACCTAGCCGCGGGAAAACGGCCAGGGCGCGTCCACCTGCCGCGCCAGCCTTCAGATCGAAGGCCGCGAGGTGGCAGCATTGGCGCGGCAACCTAGTGGCCATGCAGCTCCAGACGATGCCCGGGGGGACTCAGCCACTGCGCCAGTCAGCCAGGACAATAACTGGGGTGCATCTTTGCGGCCAGTCAGCAGATGAAATATAGAGATCGCGCCCCAAAACACTTAAATTTTAACTTTAGCCTTTGCGTCTCCTGCGCCAAGAAACCAGAGCTGCGCATGCGCGGCAGTCCGGCTACCCATTCAAGATGGCGCCGGGTGGGCCGGGCCTGCTGCCTCCGCCTCTGCCCATCACTCGGCCTTAGCCCCGCCCCTACCACAGGGAGCCAATCGAGATAAGCCTGCGCCACCAACCTCTCTCCACCCTCCAAGATGGCGCCAAACTGGGCGGAGCCCCAAAGTATCTCACGGCCTCCGCTCTTAGCCCCGCCCCCATGCCGCTCTTGGCCCCGCCCCCATGCCGCTCTTAGCCCCGCCCGCCGCCACTGCGGCAAAACAAGACCCGCCCCCAAGGACAGTGCCGCACGCACATAGCGGTAGATGGTTGGATTGCGGAGACCCTGCTCGCCAGGCGCCCCGGCGATCGGGTTAACCGCAGAGCCCGTAGACTCTTCTGAGCTCTTCTGAGCAAGGGAAATGAAACCACAGAAGAGGTGACTCAGAGACCGCACTCTGATGTCCACTTGGGTGGTCTTATGACAGGACTCGGGCATCATCGTCTGCCGTGCAGACGAGACAGGGAGCCTAGATTCTGCCGGGATCCTGGGTGGTTCGCCCCTAAAAAGATCCTAAGATCCTAAGATCCCGGGACTCCGAGGCTCCGAGGCCTCGATGATACAGGGAATACCCCTCAGGTCTTAGCCCCAGAAATGATATCCCCGCGGCAACACGGCCGCTCGTGGCGAACCACCTTTCCGAAGGCGCAGTTTTTGCAGCCTTGTCAATCACCCGTGGGGAACTGTGACATGTTTTCTGCCGCTCCTGGCCCGCAGCAACGCACCCTGAACACTGTCTGAACTCTGCAGACGGGTATCCAAGAGGGTGCATGCCACTGGGCAGGCAGGTAGCTGGCTGACTTACCTCCGGAGCACCGCACTCCGTTCACACACCCCGACCGAGGTCGGCAGTCTAGTGCGCCCACACTGAACCGGGCGCCCAGCGGCGCCACCAGCCCAGGGTGGACATCTCTCTGCTTCTCCTCCAATGCTCGTCCTCCCGCGACTCCTGACTCCCCAGCGTCTGCAGCAAGGGCTGCGGGACACCTCCTTGTCAGGGTCCTCTGCAGAGGCGGAGCTTCTTCTCTGACCAATCCGAGACCCTGTCACCCGCCTCGGTCCCTCGCCACGCCTCCCACACCTTGCCAATCAGACTGCAGTTGCCAAGGCAACAGCTTGGCGCCAAGGCAGGGAGTTGACGTCAACGGAGTCCGTGGTAGGGGCCCCGAAGCAGGGTCTGGAAAAGGGGGATGGGATGTGGGTGTGAAGGGATGCAGCCCCCCCAAAAGAAATCGAGATGAAACAGAAATACCTACTAATGATGCCCCAATGCAAAACCTGAGAAGATAAAGGGGGAAAAAGGACAAGCGTATATTTGTCTAAAAACGGGAAAAAGGAAAAAAAAAAAAGCCGTGAAAAATCGAGGCAAAAACATACGTTGAGGTCTAACCACGAACGATAAAGGTGGAAGAAAGGAGTTTTCTGCCTGCAACACCCAAGCACTAAGCTAATTTCCTTAATAAACGAAGAGATATTGGAAACCATCAAGGGACAGACAAAGGCAAACCAAAAAAAGGGGGGGGGGCAAAGAGACCGCAAGTCACAGGACAATACAAATGGCTGGAAGAATCATGACTTGACTCGGCATAGCGAAACGCCAACCTGAGATACCGGGTGAAGGCGGTTTATGGCAGTGCGCTGAATCGCATGCTGTCACCACCGTTGCACGAATCCACTGCGTAGACTAGCGAGAAATTGCGAGAGGGGGGGGGTGAGTGCGTAGATTACCAAGCCTGCTCCTGATAGAAGAAATTTCGTCACCGGGAGAAATAACGGGGTATCGCTGCCATAAAGGACCAAGATCGTAATAGATTCAAGGAAATAAAACGCATTGCTGAAGTTTGTACAAACGGAACGGTAAGTGTGGTTTTCTCTTTTTTCCTCTCATTTGTTTCTTTGTTAAAAATAAATAGAAATGTGGGCGAAGATTCTGGAACGATGTGCAAGAAAATTTTTACTGGTTACCTCTAGGAAAAGGAATGGGGGAGGGGAGGCAGATTACAGAAAGATGATTTTGGCTTTATTCTCCGTGCCCATGAATTTCCTTGGCAGATAAACGGTATTTTTTCCCTGGCAGTAAAATCGATGAATTATTAAAAGTTTGTTAATGTACTATTGATGGAACCATTTCACTGCCAAGGAATTTAAGTAAAGGAAATACGTACAGGTGTGTGAAAGACTAATTTTGGGGGTATTTACGGAGAGTCCTTTCTTATGATTAAAAATGTACTTTGCAGAACAGAATTAAATTCTAGTAAATCCACACAATTGTATTTTTGTGTGGCCGCTAAAATTTCAGGTTATATATTTTTATTAGGTACATAAAATGCAGTATTTTCGTTTTAGAGGGAGAGAAAAAAAAACACGCAAGACCGTGGTCCATAGATTAAAAACAGTTTTACCTAAGAGTACAGCAAATCTGATACGTCAGATTCAATTTTATATTCAATTTTATATTTGTACTTAAAGAGTTATTCATGGTTGCTTGCTAGACAGAGACGTGGGGGGGGTATGAATAGGATACGCAGTTTTTTTTTTGGTGGGGGGGAGGGCTACGTAGTTTTAAATCCCGGAACCTTAGAAAGGTTTTCTCACCTCAGAGAGCCACATAAGCATAACATATGAATGAAAATACTGTCCTTCCTATACAAGCGCATGCAGTGAAGGTGAATGCCACACTATGCTTAGGGCTTTGAATCTGACTATTCATTCTGCTCACCAGGAGGGCTGTTAAACTCTGTCCATGCTCAGGACGCCACAGAGCTTGGTTTTGGAGCCCCCCAGGGAATCCTAATGTCTTGTTAAAGTTTTTTGGGGTAGGGGTGTATTTTAACATATCCAAAGGACTCCATCCCCTCTACATGAAAAGCCGGTTTATCTCTGGGTCATGGGTCATCGGTTCTCTGAGAATTCAGTGTGCTGTAAGAGCTGCCACAGAGATAGGACCCCCTTTCCTCATATTCCCCAAGCTCACGATCTCCCCAGACCGCTGTCAATCTCTTTTCACCGACTCCACAGCCTCACTCCACGTCTTTGGCTAACATATATGCCATGAAGACTTCCTTTTGACGTCCCTGAAATTGCGTGACAATTTTACAAATTCTCTTCATGCTTAATCATTCAACAGCTGAAATGGAACAGTCACAACAGCCCTCGCCATTGTGTCTTATTTGGGGCAACACTGCAGGGTCCTCTGTATCCATATCCATGGCCTGTTCCCCCGTCAGAGCCCACTTTTCCTTTACGCAATCTCCAAATGCTGAATGTTCTCTCCTCAGAACATGGCCACCATTCTTACACAATCTCTCTCTCCCTAGGTAGCCACCTATTTCCTAACCTAATCACAAGGTGTAAATGCCTAGTCATCCACCATTAGATCCCCAATTTTAATCCTACGCCACAAAACTCTCCACACAGTCCCAATCCCATATATTCAACAATCCACATGAAAGCCAGATGCTTCATTCCTGTATTTAACAGGCAACTCAAAAGCACTTTAAAAAAAAAAAAAAAAAAAAAAAAAACCTGTTAGGGGCTAGGGATCGATGTAGTTCATTTGACACAGTGCTTGCCTAGCGTGCATGAGACACTGAATTCAATCCCCAATATCAAACGCCATATTTGTTTTTCTCTTTCCTCATCTCTAAAAACAGGGTCAGTTGTTGTAGGCAAAAATCTCAAAATTTTTTATTTCTTATTTCAGGATATCCCACTGACTATATCCAAAACACACCCCAAATTTGTCCCTAGAGTCCCACCCAGTTTTCCTACGAAGTTTCTTTTATTCCAAATTCTTCCTTCTGACACTCCCCACATGGCACTGGATTGATTGTGGAAGGCCCATAGAATGATCTTTCAAAGCAAATGAAAGGTCCTCCCTTTCCCCCAAGTTCGAGTTACCTTCTGACCCCATATTAACCACCGCCAACAAAATGCAAAGAGCCGTGGTACCTTTGGGTCTTGAAACAGTCTCAGATATTGGTACTATAAAATCCAATGACCTTTTCCTTAGGAGTCTTGGCTTAAGGAAAACGGCCCTTAAGAAAATTAATAGAGATCTAATATTCTAATAAAGATTAGGTTTTAGGACATTTTAGGACTTTTGTATTTTTGTATTTCTACTGGTGGGGATGTCTCGCACGCACACTTTACGTTTCTATATCAGGAAGACACTCATGTGTCTGGTCTGTTCCATTGGCCCATTTGTCTACCTCTGTGTATTAACACACCATACTCATTAATACCGATTTATGGTGCCTTGACTTCTGAAGGGGCCGCTCCACTCTTTGGTTTTCTAAATGCTCCTGAACGTTCCTCACCTTGTTGCTTCCAAATGAATTTTCAAATGGGCTCGTCGAGTTTGATGAAATAGCCTCCTGAGGTTTGTATTCATGTTTTATTAAGGCTGGAGAGTAATTTAGATAAGGCAGCAAATGTCATGCTATCAAATGCCTTCATCTCGGACCACGGTCTGTGCTGTTGTTTTTTCAGATCCTACAGATATGAACAAGATAATGTAATAGGTATTTTTTTTTCCTTTAAAGGTCCTATTTGCCTTCAGGAGGTGTTTTCCTATTCATTATTGTGGGTCATTTCTACTTGGTTATTTTGTAAGAAATAATTTCAGATTTATAAAAATTGTCAAGATAACACAAAGATTCCTATTGCAATTTTCCCTGGATGAGAACATCGTAACAGAACCTTGGCACAGGACACTGTCAAAAAGAAATCAATACTAGCAGAAAACTTGAGAATAAAGACTGCGTTTGGATTTTATCCATCTTTCCATTAATGTCTGTATCACAAACAAGACTCTCAACATAACACACACACACACACACACACACACACACACACACACGACCCCCAACAATACACACACAAACACACAAACAGGACCCCACAATACCACACACACACACACACACACACACACACACACACA